AGTAGAACATTTGGTCAAGGGTGTTGGAGAGGCGCTAGCAAAAATTAATAATGAAGCTATTGTCACGCTAAGTTCTTGCGAAGGAGATTTTAGTATGGAGACTCATTGTTTGGTTATTCCCAATATTACGGGAAAGTTACCGATTAGGTCTTTTAATAAAAATGATTTAAAAATTCCCTTAGGTTTAAAGTTGGCAGATCCAGATTTTAATGTGTCTAATGATATAGATTTATTGCTAGGATCGAGTATATTTTGGTCTGTTTTGTTATCAGGTAGAAAAACTTTGGGTCCAAATATGCCAATTTTGCAAAATACAGAATTTGGTTGGATAATTGCTGGGAATTTATATCTTAATTCGTTAGAGCCTAAAAATTCTCTTACATTTTTTAATGTGAATACTTATACTAATAATGATTCAATAAATAATCAAGTAATAAAGTTCTGGGAAGTTGAAGAATTGGGTTCGCAAAAGAAAATATATTCAAACGAAGAAATGTTTTGCGAAAATTATTTTAAGGAAACTGTTAAAAAGGATTCTTCAGGAAGATATATAGTTAAAATCCCATTTAAGAATACAATAAATGAATTAGGGGATTCTAAAACTATGGCATTGCATAGATTTGACTTATTGGAAAAACGTTTAAACAAAAATACAGATTTGAAAAATATGTATGTTAATTTTATGAATGAGTATATAGAATTAGGCCATATGTCTGAAACGGATTTTAACAATGATAACGGATATTTTTTACCGCATCATGCTGTGGTAAAACAGTCTAGTTTGACGACTAAATGTCGAGTAGTCTTTGATGGTTCTGCAAAATCAAGTTCAGGTCTGTCTATAAATGATGTGCAGTATATAGGTCCATCTCTTCAACAAGATATATTTTTAATTCTCCTAAGGTTTCGTCTACACAAGTATGTAATAAGCAGTGATATCTCAAAAATGTATCGTCAAGTTATGGTAGACGAAGATGATTGTCAATTTCAAAAAATTATTTGGCGTGCAGACTCACAGGAGGATTTAAAATGTTATAAGTTAAATACTGTTACATACGGTACCGCATCTGCGCCGTATCTGGCTGTTAAAAGTTTGATACAAGCTGCTGAAGATAATAAGCATGATTATCCATTAGCATCAAATATAATTAAGCGAGACTTCTATATGGACGATTTGCTTAGTTCCTCAGATTCAAAAGAGGAAATAATAAAGATACAAAAAGATGTTTCGAAAATTTTGAGTGATTCGGGGTTTGAGTTACGAAAATGGCTTTGCAATGATCCAAATATAGTTAAAGATTTTAACATTAATAATGATTTAGATGTTGCTGTACTCCCATTAGGTGAGCAAAACAAAATGTTAGGGATCTATTGGGATCCACAGAACGATTTTATACGGTATAAAATAAATATTGATTATTCTATTGAACCAGGTCAATGGAATAAACGTAGTATTCTGTCGGTAATTTGTCAGATATACGATCCATTGGGACTATTAGGTCCGATTGTAATAAATGCAAAGCTAATCATGCAAGATTTATGGAAAAGAAAATTTGGATGGGACCAAGAGTTACCGCCAGACTTTATTAAAATTTGGTTAGAATTTTACAGTAACTTAAATTCTTTGAATGCATTAAAAATACCACGTCATGCTAGTATATCAGGTTATATTAATATTGAATTACATGGTTTCAGTGACGCATCTACACGGGCTTATGGTTGTTGTATATATATAAGATGTTTAATGTCATCTGGATCTTACATATGTAATTTGTTATGTGCGAAATCACGGGTTGCACCATTGAAATTGTTAAGTCTTCCTAGATTGGAACTTTGTGCGACAGTTTTACTAGCTAATTTATTGAAAAGGGTTTCGGATTTTATATATATTCCAGTTAATGGTATTTATTGTTGGACTGACTCCACAATTTGTTTGAGTTGGATTAAAGGTGATCCTAGTAAATGGAAACAATTTGTTGCCAATCGAGTGCAAGAGATACAAAATTTGACTAGTATGAATTCCTGGAACCATGTTCGTTCAGAACACAATCCAGCTGATTTGTTGTCACGAGGATTCTCGGCAGACAATTTAAGGAATAATAACTTGTGGTGGTCTGGACCAGAATGGCTTCTTGAAGATAGTAAAGAATGGAATATTTTAAATCCTGAACCGTGCCAGAATGTACCGGAAGCAAAGGTTGTTTCTTGTATTGCTGTAAATAACTTTAATTTGGTTAACTATTTGTTAGAGCGTTTTTCTTCATTGAACAAATTTTTAAGGATTTTAGCATATATTTTACGATTTTCTAATAATTGTAAAGTTGAACTATCGAAGAGAAGGACTGGTATACTGACACCAGAAGAGATTGAAGCAGCTCTAACATTAGCAATCAATTCTGTTCAACAGGAATGTTTTCCCTTAGAATACAAGAATTTAATTAATAATAAAGAAATACCAAATAAAAGTAAAATCATAACATTGAATCCTTTTATTCATGAAAGGTTACTAAAGGTTGGTGGACGTTTAAGAAATAGTAATATTCCGTTTAACAGCAAACACCAAATTATTTTACCAAATAATCATGTTTTAACAAAAAGAATTCTATTAAATGAACATGAACGATTGCTTCATTGTGGTGTTCAACAATTAATTTTTTCATTAAGGCAAAAATATTGGCCTATTTCAGCTCGTAGCTGCTGTAAATATGTAATAAATAAATGTATAGCTTGTTTTAAAACTAAGCCAAAACCTTTAAATTATTTAATGGGTGATTTGCCCCAGAATAGGGTAAATAGTTTTTCAGTTTTTCAAAATGTAGGTACTGACTATGGTGGTCCGTTCCTTATCAAGGATCGAAAAACTAGAGGTGCTAAATTAATCAAGGCTTATATTTGCATTTTTATTTGTATGTGTACTAAGGCTGTACACATTGAGTTAGTGTCAGACCTTACCACTGATGCGTTTTTAGCGAGTTTCAAAAGATTTATTAGTAGAAGAGGAAGACCTTCTAATATTTACTCTGATAATGGTTCAAATTATATAGGCGCAAACAAGGAAATAAATGCTGTTTATGAGTTTTTAGAAAATTCATCTGACTCCATTTCTCAAAGTCTATTACATGAAAAAATAAAATGGCATTTTATACCTGCAAATTCTCCTACGTTTGGGGGTTTATGGGAAGCGGGAATAAAAAGTATCAAGTCTCATTTAAAAAGAGTAATGGGTTGTCGGTCTATGACTTTTGAAGAATTTAGTACATTGTTGCATCAGGTGGAAGGTATATTGAATTCTAGGCCACTTTGTCCTATTTCCGGCGATCCTGATGATAGCACTGCCTTAACGCCAGCACACTTTATAATTGGACGTACTTTAACTATGTTGCCAGAGTGTGATATTACTCATGTTCCTGAGAACCGTCTTGATAAATGGCAATCTATACAAGTAATGGTTCAACAGCTGTGGTCGAGATGGCAACTGGAATACTTGAACGAGCTACAAATGCGCCAGAAATGGAAATATAATTGCCACCAAATGTTAAAGCTAGGTTCTTTGGTGCTGATTAAAGACGACAGGACTCCTCCACTTCAATGGCCTCTTGGACGAGTGACAGAAATGCATCCAGGTCCAGATGGAGTTACTAGAGTTGTAACTGTTAAAGTGCGTGGTAGTGAAACAAAAAGAGCACTCAATCGTATATGTGTTTTGCCAATAGACTGTTAATTTTAGTTGTTCAATTCATAATGTTTTGTATGTTAATTTCAATTTAAGTAATGAGAATTGACAATTTTTAACTGTATTGTTAACCATTTCTTTTAATTCATTAATCATTGTTTTTATTTTGTTAGTTCTGTAGGTTTTGAAAGAAACTGCGTCCTTTCAAGGGGGCCGACATGTTTAGACATAAATTTTATTTTGTTAAGCTTAGGTACTTGTGTAGTAAAAGACAAGGCAAGCCTGTCATGATTGATGTAACGGCTGTCAAAATGATAATTTCGCTCTCTTGTCATGCAGCAATAAATAGGTAAACACGTCTCCCTAATTAATTAAAGTTTTTTATATTTGTAATAATAAATGGTACAAGCAGGAATATGGTAAATCATCAATGATTAGCCAGAAGTTCATACAATAACATTATTTAAATTTAATTTCCTTTATGGTTCGTTAGTTTTCGCAATAGTATAACAAGTTGTACTGTACAAAAGATAAACACAATCTTTGATGTGCCACTACGCTAAGAAATGAGGCTCTCTGAAAACTTATTGTATGTACAACATGATATTTGATGTTACAATATTTTAAGATATATAAATTTTTTAAAAGAATGTCTACATTAGGCTTCATCTTATTCCCCTGTGTAGTTAAATTTGTACGCACAATAGTTCAGTAAGTGTCTGAGCAGGAATAGCGCATATTAAAACGTCATAGCTGACGAACTCTGATTATTTGAATACCAGATGAATATTTAATCTGGTATTCTTGTGATAACTATATTATGATATTTTCACGAAAGGATAAGGTAAATAATCTGTAAAGATGAAGTTTTTCAACTCTAATAAGTGTACCTACACTTCCTAACAGCTTTGGTTGTAAGTGGTTGTCGTTGCATTTTCGAACTGCTTTTTTCATGCGTCATTATTTTCGAGTGCACTACCCCATTTGTGCTGTTGAGTGTACAAACCACGTTGGCATGGCAGCAAAATTATGTTAAAATGTAACAGATAAACACAAAAATTATCATGCTTACGCCTATATAACGAATCATATCGACGAATCAATATTGAATCACTTTTTTGCAATAATACCTAAAGTTTACATTTAAATTTGTTTACACTTTGATAACAATTGTTTATAATTACTTGCCACGAGGTTAAAACAAATTAGTTTATTTTATTGTTTGTTTTATTCGCACCAGTGAATAATTGCTAAAAAATTCTATATGAATGTATGAATCTGTATGAATGTTAACAAGTTTTTGAAATATAAATATACCTAAACATACCTGTGCTGATAACACTCTTCACAAACAAAACAAAAAGTACCCAACGCACTCTCGACATCATTTGACCTCTTAATCAAGCCAATAAAGGCTACCTTGTTTAAGTTCAAATGTACTGTCAGTGACTCATTTCCGAACAGGGTTCTTCTGCTATAAAAATACGATCAAAACTTAGCAGGAAAAATTGTATCCGCTCCTGCTGGTATTAACAACTAACAAAGTCAAAGCGTTGGTCAAAGTAAATCGAGCGTGGACCTGCAATATACGTCATATTTATCATTCATATTTGGTATTTTAGACCCCACCATTTTGTTCTGAGTATTCTTACGAGGAGCGCGTGATTTATTCTGTGCTTGATCAAATCATTTCTAAACTATTTAATCACTGCATTATAATTATTTATTTAGTTTTTATTCACTAAATAATTTTTTTTTTAGTTTATAACAATCAACAAAAAACAAAATTTGTTTAATTTACTGTTTGTATTTTGAGAACGATTTCCGAAGAGGAAATTGAAACGTCAATAAACGTATTTTTATCTTTAATTGTGGCTTATTCCCAGTTAAATAGTAATTAATTTAAAATGCCACAAGAAAATAGCTTCAGAACAATATTAATTTCTTGGTTTCGAAACTTTACTTCGACTTGTAAATTTGTTATATTTTTCTCCCATTATACTGTCTTTTCAGGGCACTACATCTATTAGATGTGTTAGTGAGAGCGCCCACCAAAGTGGCGTGGCACGTAGCAAGTGGCAAGTAGCACGCGTCTAGCATGTTTCTTAAAATGTAGCCAATGAAAACGAATGATTCAGCGCACACCAAAATGACAGTGACGTCATTCATTCTAATCATTCGTTTTCATTGGTTACATTTTAAGAAACATGCTAGACGCGTGCTACTTGCTACGTGCTACTTGCCACGCCAGTTTGGTGGGCGCTCTCCCTAAGTCTTCTCTAATTTTGTTATTATATCCTGCACTTCTTCGTTGCTTTTTCCACAACGTCCTTATGACGACTACTAGAAATATATTTTTGTTTAAAAATAAAATATATTAGATAATTTAAACAGCTAACGCCGCATGCCCAAGTCTATTTATAGTCGCCATGACTTGCCTGTCTTAAGCATGTTCTTCCAAACTCCTGATCTCTAATGCCTTCCAGCTATTTTCACTCCAGAATAATCTTGGTCTTCTTCAGTTACGTGTTCCTGGCGGATTTCATCTAAATACTCTACTGGGCTATCTACTTTCTTCCATCGTTAGAATATGTCCAAACTACCTAAGACTTTCCCTTTTTATTATATCGGTTAACGTGTCTGTCGTTTTTAATCTATATCTAATGTTGTTACGATGTGCTGATTGTTCAACAGTTCGAACCGTGGGAATGTCGATATTCGCGCATCCACTTCTACGACGAGACGACGAAGTGGGATTCGGAGCAGCTATTAAAGGCAAACGACTGGCGAAATTAGATAGTCTTGTGGCTAGCGCTCTAGACTCCCTGGCTCGCTGGTGTAGTGAATCTGCGAGCCAACCCGGACAGAGAGATTTCCATATTGAGGATCGTACTCTGTCCTTAATCAAGCAGAACCCATCGATATCGTGAATTGAACGTTACCGTGAATCTGCACAACCGAATATTTTGTTTGCGAGTGCGTTCGGAGCTTCCGCTGAATTGAGGTGGATGCGAGTATAACTCTGCGTGCTATCGACTTCGCGTATTTCATTTCTTTGTTAGTAATAATTATTTTTTTTTCTTTTACAGACGTTCGCCGGGGAGTTCACTCTCGCGGGATCCAGACGAGGACATAGAAGATATTTTATTTTTGTTTATTGTGTATACGTTAAAATTAATAGATTTATTTTTATATCAACCTGCGTTTTACTGAGTCTGTCACCTCCAAAGAGCTACCCGTCACAATGTCCTCGTTAATAATTCTGCCGAGCCATGATATTCTAGTGCTCCTTCGAAGATAACTGATTTAAAGTCCACATTTCACTTTCACTCTTCATGTTATTACAGAGTCCACAAATGTTCTTCCAATCCTAATCTTAGTTTTCTCTTTTATATACAGGTCCCACCACACTGAATTAAAACTTCTAATTCCTTTCTTTTCTTGTTCTATTAGCTGTCCAATTTTCTCTTGTTCTAGCTCTGTTATTAAAAGTACTCCTAGATATTTAAACGATTTTACCTGTTATTTCCATGTCATGTCAATCACAACCTCAAAATTAGCGTTAGAGTTAAACACTAAATATTCTGTTTTTTTGAGAACTAAATTGACTTCTCATTTTTTAGGCATAGTCTTCTTACCATAAAATCCAGATCATAGTCTTATGCAACAATAGCTTGGTCATCTACGAAGTTAACGCTAGTTAAGTAAAGATCACGAGGAAGATCCCCAACAAGATGGATCATCCAATTACAGAAGTACACAAAAGATCTATGCATGAGTTAAAAGAAATGACCAGAGAGAGAGACAGATTTTTGGATATGGACAATACACGGCATCATGATGACCACTACATTCCCTCTAGATCTACAATTTATCAGAAGAACTGCCACTTTCAACCTGTTCTTCTTAAATTGGTGAACAATTTTGGCAATTATCACCAACATTTCACTTCAGAGCAAATTCAAAGTGCTGCATAACTGAAAATAGAAATTGTTTGCATCTTCCATTTAGTTTGTAGATGTACATTGTTCATGTCATACCTACCTACGTTTTTGGTGTCAATATTTTGTTATTTGCATTTAAAAATGACGTGGACAACAGGTTTGATCCCGGTTAAGTGTAGTTTTAAAGGGTCAGTCTAAGAGAAAAAAATATAATATTAAATGTACACGATGCACTTGTACATTAACGCCCTTTAAGTAATGTTCGTGAAATCGTTAACATGTATTCAAATATGACAGGGGTTGGAGAAGCAACAATTTATAGATTCCTAAAAGAAAGTAAAGGAGGAACTGTTTCATCTCCCCCATGAAGAGTAGAGGGAGTAAACCCTTGGAAATTGAAGAAATACATAAAAACATGATAAGACGCAGCTTCCACTCATTTTTTTTTTAACAAAGAATTTCCAACATTGGACAAAATCCAAACATTAATTAGAGAAAACGAAGAGTTACCAATCATAAGCAACAAGAAATTATGGGGACTATTGAGAGAGATGGGATTTCGTTGGCAAAAGAATAGAAGAAAATCCGTTTTAATTGAAAAAGATTACATTGTATGTTGGAGACGAGATTATCTAAGAACTATTAAAAAATTACAGAGAAGAAGGGAAAACAATTTTTTATTTGGACGAGACTTGGCTAAATGAAGGTCATACTGTACCATATCTATGGGTTGATACAACTGTGAAAAGTTCCCGTCAGGCATTCTTCGAAGGTGTATCTACTGGAATAAACAATATTCCCGTTGGAAAAGGACGCAGACTCATAATAACCCATATGGGAAACGAATACGGTTTTGTCAATGGTGGATTATTAAGTTTTCCCTCAAAATCAACCAAAGATTACCACGAGGAAATGACTGCTGAAGTTTTTGAAGAATATTTTAAGCAAATGTTGGATTTAATTCCAAAAAATTCTGTCATAGTCATGGAGAATGCTAGTTACCATTCAAGACTAGCAGAAAAATTGCCAACAACGACATGGAAAAAAGAAGAGATAATCGAATGGTTGGATAAACACGCAATTGAGTACAAGGAGAATTCGAAAAAAAAAAAGGAATTATTACCTATTGTAACGCAACATAAAGCAGCTTATAAAAAATATATAATTGAGGAAATGGCATTAAACCGTGATGTAATTATTTTACGTTTACCCCCATACCACTGTGATCTGAATCCCGATAGAAAATATATGGTCTCAAGTAAAGGGTGAAGTCCGACGCAACAACAAAACTTTTAAATTAGAAGACTTACAACAATTATTAGAACATTCCTTATCAAAAGTAATTCCAGAAAATTGGAAAAATGTTGTTAGTCATGCTCACAAGGAAGAAAATAAAATGTGAAATTTGGATAACATGACTGATGCAATGCTGGAACCGGTAATAATTAACATTGGAGTTGAAGATTCCTTAGATTCTGAAGAAAGCAGTGAATCTGAAATGGAATTTAATTAAAATAATATTCATTTTTTTACAAATCGGCCCCTGTTACGGCCACAAATTATTTTATATATAACTAATAAAATAAACATCTTATATTTCTTGCAAATTCATTAGTACCTATTATTCTCCATCACTCCGACACTGGCAACTTTATTTAGGGATTAGTAACCCTCAAAACTATTGTATTCTATTCTGCTTCAACCTTTATACCTGGTGGTCATACTCAATTTAAAATTGTTTTCCTATATACTTCTGTAAACGTGTTGACAAATATCTATAATGATTTTCATAGAGTCACTCGTATCAACAGTTTAGGGATTTGCATACATAATGTGCTATCAATATGATGGAAATGGACTATACCTCATCCTTTTTCCAGCTACAAATATCATCACAAGAAGTTCTTCTGGTGCAGGCTTATTAAGCACATCTGTTGCAAAGAATCTTCATCATTTATGAAACCTCAATTGGTATAATGTCAAACTGGAAACTTGTAGACCTGCTTATTCTGGTAAACACTTTTCAAAGCAAACACTCCTACCAACAATATCCTAAGCTGCAAAGTTATTGTTGATATTTTCTGTGTAAAAACAATTTAATTGACTATTAATTTCTTTTATATAAAATAATTTAATATAAAAGTAAGTAAAAATACAAGTTTTATTTTTTAATTCAACTTGCAACAAAATATCCATTGAATGCCATAACAAATGTACATTTGACTAATACAACCCTTGAAACTGTCATTTGTCACAAATTGAATGTATCGATTCTCGAAATAACAAAAACATAAAATATAATACATTTTCTTTCTGGGGAATATATCACATTCCCCTTGTATAATTTAATAAGTAGTTCATTACGTAAACAGGTATATAGGAATAAACAATGTAATTTATTTTTAATCGTAGGAATGTACTAAATAATAAAATTTTTATACTATCATAAACTATTCCATGAAACGTATACGTTTTTTTACATCGATCAAACACGCCTTATAAAATAA